TTTAAGAGTCACAGAACGTTGCGCGCTAGGATGATGTTGACGCCAAAACAACCAAAACAAAGAGGAGACTCACCTCTTACATCAACAAGAATCCGTGTGTTTCGAGCTTTATCCGTTCTTTCATAATCCGTTGTTGAATTGTGATCGGCAGAAGCTTTTCCAGTTCGCGCCTCACTTTTTTTACAGCAGCGGCCCAAAACTATCTCCTAACACATGGATTTTCTGCTTCCTGATCACGTGATGAGTGACGTATGCAAATGAAGACTGGCTTCAGAGCTGAGATGTTTGTTCTCACGGTGCGGGGGCTCGTTCCGATGCCCACACAGTAAAAAAATGCAAATGATAACTTTAGTCTTCATTGGCAGTGAATGAGTTAATTTGTTCTCAGGGATTATTGAATCTAATATGTTCCCAATTATGTTGATAATTGTGATTACCATACGTGATCTAAAGTTTAACAATCATTTTGCCAGTGGAACATTTGACACTCTGACTGGTATCAACATTCCCATGGTGTACATTTACCAGATCGTGACACTTTGAATCAAGTATTAGAATTGGATTGCCTGAGTTTCTAAAAAAATAAATAAAATATGCAACTACCATCAAATGTCCTCCCACTAAAGAAATACAGAAAATCAATCCCCCCTCAGGTTTAATTCCCAATCCTACAAAAGCTTCTCCATGTTATAGTCCAAGACGCTTTGCACAAACTCAATTGCTCACAATGTGTTGCTGCAATTTCAGCAAGACTCAATCTCACAAAGTAGAGATGTAACTGCAGCAGCAGCTTTGTGTCCATGGTCTGAGAAAACACTTCTCAGTTTGTGGGAGGCTACACTTTGTATTCCAACTGTGTGACAATGCACTCCTGCAAGGCCAGCTGCTGCAACGGTTTTCATTTATATGTGCACCATTGTCTTCCTGCAAAAACTCACCTCCCAGAAGATTTTACTACAGGACTTGTTCATTTTTCTCCAAGTAAGATATTTATACATAATATTGTCAAACAAATCCAAGCCGTTCTGTTCTTATTTAATTACAACATTGTCTCTGCTAGCAGCAGTTTGGACTCTTGAAGCTTTTTTCTCCCCTCGTAAGGTCCAGATGTTCTAGCGTATGAATATTTTAAAACAAAACTAAAACTGACCCCAGGTGGAAAATTCCCCACAGTTTTCATTAAGAGATTAGAGCCTCTGATGAGCAAGCCTTTGTTTACTTATCTGCATGGTTGAATGGGGGGGGGGGGGGGGGGGGGGTCACATAAGCAAGAAAGTCATCAAGACAGAATAAAGTAAAAGATAAAATGTCTAACTGCATTAATAAAAAGACGACTGGACTAGATGAGAAAAACAAGCCATAACAAAGAAGATGCTGGTAAAATTTTGGTTTCTGTCCTTTAATAATATAAACCGTAGACCCCTGTGGTGAAGCTTTTGTTTGTCTGAGAAATACTCTGTGGTTTAAAAAAAATGAATTGACATTTCTGCATGATTGATTTAAATGAGCACGTTTTAACCATTAAACACTGTCATTTCCCTTCTTTAGGACTTCAGAGTAGTTCTGCTTTGAAAATGTCCAACAGCCAACAAGCCGGTGACTCACAGCAGGACTTGGAGACTCTGATGGAGTATTTTACAGTTTGTCCTCAGCAGCTTTGGTGCTTTTCTCAGATCAGAATTAAAAACCCCATAACTGTTTGATCGACCTCTACAACATCTAGCCATTTGTGCACATCAAAGAAGTGGTTTACCATTCCTTCCAACAACAACAAGCGGTTTGGATTGCTGGCTGTAATGCACATAACACACAAGCTTGCAGTATAAAGAAGGACAACACCTGTCCCCCTCCAGCTCGGCTGTGTGACTGCACTAACCTGTCCTGTGGGACCCTCACCATGTAACCCTCATGTCCATGCTGTCTCTGGAGGAGCAGATAGGAAACAAGATCTCCTGTAACTTAAAATGAACCAAAGCTTCCTCCCAGTTTCTCTTTAAGCTGAATTTAACATCAGTTTATCATCATGAAACAAAAGAATAAAGTGGAACAAGAACTTCTATCTTCTATTTCTCTCTCCTTTTAACTTCTCCATGTCCCTAAATAAGAGAGAGGTTACGCTGCAGCCGCCGTCACTCACCCCGCTCCCTCCCCAAGACTGGGCCTCCCGACATCACAGCACTCGGTCTGACTGAGCGCTTCCAGGAGAAACAATAATGAAATTATGAAAATAATAATGCGTGTTTGGAGAAGCATCCTCCGATCCTCTCTCTTGTGTGAGCAGACAATCTCCTGCTCTCTCTCTGTCTCAGTTGCTGATCGAGCGAGCGGAGCGCGTCGCATGACAACCCGCTCAATTAACATAATTTACGGCCCAAATCCAACAGAACTGGTCGGGCTGATTCGATTCGGGTTCGGTCTCAGGTTACAACTCCAGCGCTCAGCCCTGCAGTACCACATAAAGGCAGATCAAAGTTTCCTACCTGGTAAATGTGGAGAACACCGCTCTGACAGATTTGGATGCTACGCTGGTGCCGCTGTTACTACATTCCACTATAATTGATTATGGTACTCTTCTATGATGCAGAACCGTTTATGCCCGTATCTCATGCATTGATTATTTGATTATTTTCCTCAGCTCTATCCCAAACCTCCCGGTCGGCCATCAGGGATGGGGGTGGGGGGTACGCGCGGGGTTTGGAGGCCACAAAGAGGGGGCTCGCGGGCCGGACGTGGCCCCGGGGCCGCCATTTGCGGACCACTGGCATACTTCTTAGTATCCATACATTCTGTCATTTTTTTCTATTAAATTAATTAGGGACAATGTAGGTGGCCTATTATTTCTAAACTCTTACTGGCCATTGTCTACATTTCATTTTTCTCTACAAAACTATCAAAGTGAATTAAAACATTTTAGGGAACTGGGAGAGTATTGACACTGGCCTTTAATTTGTGTATAACTTGTATGCGTATCTCGTATTCTTTGCAAAAAGGAAAACATTTAGCTAATTTCTTGTTTTGTGGAAATACCCAAGTCTAAAAAGTCAAGTTCAATTCAATACAGTTTATTTATATAGCACCAAATCACAACAAAAGTCGTCTCAAGGCACTTCACAAAGTAAACATTCCAATACAGGTCAGTTCATTAAGCCAATCAGTAAAAAGTTTCCTATATAAGGAACCCAACAGATTGCATCGAGTCACTGACTAGTGTCAGTGTCTCTACAGCAATCCTCATACTAAACAAGCATGTAGCGACAAGCATGTTAAACTCCCGTTTAACAGGAAGAAGTGGAAGATATGTCAATGGTTCTATGCCTTCAATAATGCTTTTCAATACCAACATCATTCTGATCTCTACTTGTTTTATTCCTAAATCCACTCAAGTCATACATTTTTTTCTCATCCGCTGCTCTTAATAATGCTGAGCTATTATTTCTTATAACATCATTTATAGCATTCAATTCTATCCCATCTACCTCTATTTCCTTTTCCAGTATTGATCTAATATCTACAAAGAATTCATTGAATCCTACTTAATTCATAGTGGATACATTTTCTATGTAATCTGGGGGGAAATTATTGTGCATCCCATTTTTAATTACACAGTTTTATAAGTGCCACATACCTTTTGTTTTATTTTTGTTATCTTCTAAAGTTTTTCTTAATTATTCTCTTTTACAGTTTCTCATTATGTTAATTAGTTTGTTTTGTATCCATTTGATTCGTTTTTTGCTTCTGTGATTCTTATTTCTCTTGAAATCGTGACATAGGGTGTTTGTTTGCTGGCATTTTGTAATCCCTAGTTATCCATGGTCTTTCTGTGTAGCTGTTGCCTGTTATTTTGGAACACTGGGCAGTTATATCAAAAACTGTTTTAAAGATATTTAAAAATGTTTCATTTTCTTTATTAATGTCATTTTGCATGAATACAATATTCTAATCCTATTTTTATAGTTCATCTTTAAGAATACTTAACTTCTCAGTTGTTAAGCCTAATTTATACTTCTCTGTCAGCTCTGTGAGGGGCCGACGTACGTGCATTGATGTTTTGCTTTCAGACTTCTTCATCAGCTGGGGATCAAAAACAATTCCCCACCAGGACAACAGAGGGCGTAGCACTATTCTGAGGTATCCTGCCATCACATATCCGGCCAATGATCGTGTATCTACTAATGTGTTTACATTAATTTCATTTATTTCAGATTTAAAACAAGGACAAATTTGTCCCAAGATCCTCCTCACCTCTTTATGCGATCAGCACTTCTAAACCCATGTTTCTCGTCTTCTCCATCCACAAATAAAACGCTTGCTGCATATCTTTGTACTCCTTCAGTCATGGGTTATTAAACGTTCAGATTTTCAGATTTTTTTCCGCGATGCATTCTTCAATCTGTTCCATGTCTGCTGCTAAATATCTCTTGTCATAATAAAGACATGACATAGCCTTGCGACTATCATGTTCACAAACAATGGTGTCCAGACTTTCTATTTTAGTAACACAGACTCTATCATTGACCTTAAAACTGAATGAAATATCCATTATGAGCAGAGTGAACGGCTTTTGCAGGTCAATCTAGGTTGTGCGGTTTGTACTAAATCGTTTGAGAAATGCACTAGCTGTTGAGTAAATGTTAGTGATGCACCAAAGCAGCTTAGAAAATCTGTAACTTCCTCCATGATTATTCCAACATATCCCACGGATACCAACTCCATGAAGCTGTGAATCTTCATCTGCACAGAACTGAACTCAAAGATCCCTGAGGGTGTAAGAATAGCGAGAGCTCTCTCTCTCTCTCTCACTCACTCACTCACTCACTCACTCACTCACTCACTCACTCACTCACTCACTCACACACTCACTCACACACTCACACACACACAGTGCTTATGAATGCTGGAGGAAGTGCTTGGGGTGATTCAACCTCAGCCAACAAAGCTGTGGCAGTTTGATGATAAAACTAGAAAAAAATATCAAACATGTGCTCAAGAAAGGCCCTTACCATGGAGGCATCAATGACCTGTCCTTTGCCTGACTTTGTCCTCTCCAGCAGAGCTAAGACTATCCCCAGAGCACAAGTAAGGCCTCCTCCAGCAAAGTCTGCTATAAGATTTAGCGGTGCGTAGGGCTTCTCTCCACTGCGACCCAGTCGGGATAAGAGGCCTGCGTAACAGACAAAAAAATAATAATAATCATTTAAAAAGGAACAAATATAAAGCTTAGCTTTTCTTAAGGAATCCATGTTACATAACAATTTTATGCAAGAGTTTTAAACCAGGTTCCGCTTATGTTGACAGGTCAAATTTATGTAGCAGTTTCTCCCATCCTGAACACATTATGTACAGTCTCAAGCAAACAAGCCTACTGAGTATCACTGATGTAGACCATGAGTTGAAGATGGCTATTAGCTACTTTTAGCTCAATTTCTGTAACTGTGATGAAATGTTTGACTTTAAGATAGTTTACCAGAGAGTATGTTTAAGATGGCCGGAATCCTAAAAGTAATCAGTTTTAGAGGTAAATCCAATGAAAATGTCCTAGCATGTAAAATAAAATCCACTCAGTGGTTTGTGAAAGTCTGCTGCCATTATGGTTGTCACGGTAACCGGTGTAGCGGTAAACCCCGGTAAAAGAAATGACAATAATAAAAACCGTCTTGTTTTTAAAAAGATATATTATCTCGGTGGATTACCGTGGCTGCGGTGTAGGCGCCGTGACCCTTACCAGCCACCGTATCATCTGCTGAAGTTGCCGGCGGCACATGCGCACTTTGTTGTTTACAACCAAAACTTTCTTGAAGCTGAAACAATGACCAAAGGAGGAGACGGCAGCGCTCAGGACATTTATTATCCCTCAAAGAAGACAAAGTTGGAAGTACGGGCATTTTTTGGATATTTGAAGAATGTCGAGGGACAGTTGGTAGAAGACGGCTATCCTGATTGCAGCACGTGCAGAAAAAGTGTCTGTGAAAGTCAGCAACGCTTCAAATCTCATGACACATTTGCGTGACCATCACCCACAACTCTACAGTCAACGCAAGGCAAGCTAACGTTAGTGTTTTAGCAAAAATGTGTGATCCAAGAATTTGGGTTGAGGGAGAATGCAGTGAGTCCCTATATAAAGCAGCCGCAGCGCCTGCTACTTGCACATAAACCGTGTCGCGGACACCCCCATATTGAAATGACGCTATGCATTAAGGGGCTCCCAGGGGCAGATAAGAGTTGGTCTCTCTCCGAGAATAATTATGAATTTAACAATGATTACTGCCTGATGACATTTTCCCACATCTGCAAAGCTCACTGGAAGGACACAAACCGAGGACTATATTTTCCTGATATAGGGTTTATTACTCAAGTAAGGGTAAAAAAGTATCTGATTAGAAGGCTACTTGAGTACTGAGTATCATCTGATCTAATATTTTTAAATGATGACATCAAACAGACATGAAATAAGAAGTTATAGACAAATATTGGTATTTTAAAGACTAAAGGGGAAAAATGTAAACAAATAAACAACATAATTACAAAATTTAGACACAAACTGAGGACTATTTCCTGATATACAGGGTTTATTTAGTTGTCTGAAAATGTAACACGTTTAAAAAAATACCTTGATAATACCGAAAAACGTGATAATTTTGGTCACAATAACCGTGAGGTTAAATTTTCACACTGACAACCCTAGCTGCCATATAGGATTAACTTCATTGACAAATGGTAACTCCTCCTTGAACAGTCACCTTATTGTGGAGGAGGAGTTTGACTGGCCTAATGATCCTAGGAGAATATTTGTCTGGGGCACTTTGTGTAGGGTCTCCCATGACAAATGGGTCTTAGGTGAAGGGTGAGACAAAGAACAGTTCAGAAGATCTTTCATGGATGTAAAAACAAAGAGTCGGAGTATGGTGAGTTGGATCAGATGGCAGGGGAAGATGCCGTGTAGACCTGGCAGACCCAAATGCATAGTGAGGGTCTGCTGGGAACGCTTGGCAGAAGAACCTGTCAAGATGGTCTTCAACTCCCACCTCCAGCAGAGCTTTGGCCGCGTCCCGAGAGCAGTGGGGGACATCGACTCCAAGTGGGCCTTGTTCCACTCTGCGATTGTTGAGGCGGCTGTTGCTAGCTGTGGTCGCAAAGTGGCCGGTGCCAGTCGTGTTGGCAACCCCCGTACCCGCTGGTGGACACCAGAGGCTCAGGGAGCCGTCAGGCGGAAGAAGGAGGCCTACAGGGCGTGGCTGGTTTGTGGGTCTCCGGAGGCAGGAGACGGGTACCGGAGAGCCAAGCGGGGTGCAGCAGTGGCAGTTGCCGAGGCGAAATCTCAGGCGTGGGAGGAGTTTGGTGAGGCCATGGAGAAAGACTATCGATCGGCGCCAAAGGGGTTCTGGCAAACTGTCCAGCGCCTCAGGAGAGGGAGGCAGCAACTCGCTCACACTGTTTACAGTGGGGATGGGGAGCTGCTGATGTCAACTGGGGCTATAGTCGGGCGGTGGAAGGAATACTTTGAGGAGCTCCTCAATCCCACCTACGGGCATTCCGAGGAGGAGCCAGTGCCGGGAGACCTGGGGATGGACTGTCCAATTTCTGGGGCAGAAGTTGCTGAGGTAGTCAAACAACTACACAGCGGCGGAGGCCCGGGGATGGATGAGATTCATCCTGGGTATCTCAAGGCTATGGATGTGGTGGGCTGTCGTGGTTGACACGTCTCTGCAACATTGCGTGGTCATCGGGGGCAGTTCCTGTGGAGTGGCAGACCGGGTGTTGGTCCCCATCTTTAAGAAGGGTGACCGGAGGGTGTGTTCCAACTATAGGGGGATCACACTCCTCAGCCTCCCTGGAAAGGTTTACTCCAGGGTACTGGAGAGGAGGGTCCGATTGATAGTTGAATCTCAGATTGAGGAGGAGCAATGTGGTTTTCGTCCTGGCCATGGAACTGTGGACCAGCTCTATACCCTTGCGAGGGTGATGAAGGGGGCATGGGAGTTTGCCCAACCAATCCACGTGTTTTGTGGATTTGGAGTAGGCTTATGACCGTGTCCCCAGGGGCACCCTGTGGGGGACGCTCCAGGAGTATGGGGTGGATGGCCTTTTGTTAAGGGCTATTCAGTCCCTTTACCAGAGGAGCGTGAGTTTGGTCCACATAGCCGGTAGTAAGTCGGACCTGTTCCCGGTCAGGGTTGGACTCCGCCAGGGCTGCCCTTTGTCACCGGTTATGTTTATAACCTTTATGGACAGAATTTCTAGGCGCAGCCGTGGTGTGGAATGTGTCGAGTTTGTTGGCAAGAGAATCTCCTCTCTGCTTTTTGCGGATGATGTGGTCCTCCTAGCATCATCCAGCTCTGACCTTCAGCTCTTGCTGGGTAGGTTCGCGGCCGAGTGTGAAGCGGCTGGGATGAGGATCAGCAACTCCAAATCTGAGACCATGGTTCTCGATCGGAAAAGTGTGGCTTGCCAACTCTGGGTCGGAAGAGAGTCCCTACCTCAAGTGGAGGAGTTTAAGTATCTCGGGGTCTTGTTCATGAGTGAGGGTAGGAGGGATCGGGAGATCGACAGGCGGATTGGTTCGGCGTCTGCAGTGACGCGGACGCTGAGCCGATCTGTCGTGGTGAAGAGGGAGCTGAACCAGAAAGCCAGGCTCTTGATTTACTGGTCGATCTATGTCCCAATCCTCACCTATGGTCATGAGCTTTGGGTGATGACCAAAAGAACGAGATCACGGATACAAGCAGTCAAAATGAGTTTCCTCTGTAGGATGGCTGGACTTAGCCTTAGAGATAGGGTGAGGAGCACGGACATTCAGAGGGAACTCGGAGTAGTACCGCTGCTCCTCCGGATCGAAAGGAGTCAGTTGAGGTGGTTTGGGCATCTGGTCAGGATGCCTCCTGGACGCCTCCCTGGGGAGGTGTTTCGGGCATGTCCTGCCGGCAGGAGGCCCCCAGATCGACCCAGGACACGTTGGAGGTTACATCTCCAATCTGGTCCAGGGAACACCTTGGGGTCCTGCTGAAGGAACTGGGCGAGTTGGCTGGGGAGAGGATGGTCTGGAGCTCCCTAGTTGGGATGCTGCCCCCGTGACCCAGACCTGGATAAGCGGAGGAAGACGACGACGACGGCAAACGGTAAATAAAAGTCTGAATTAAAGACTCTAAGGCCCTGTCCACACGTAGCCGGGGATCTGCCAAAACGTAGATATTTTTCTACGTTTTGGCCTGTCATCCACACGAAAATGGAGTTTTTTCACACGAAAACGGATCTTTTTAAAAACTTCGGCCAAAGTGAAGATCTGTGTTTTCTCCGTTTTGGGTGTCTGCGTGTGGACGGACAAAACCGGAGTTTTAAGGTCCGAAACGTCCCTTTCGGCAACAAAAAATGCTGACATCACGTGTGCGACCTGTGTTTACACTAGCCGACAGCATGGATGCCCTCAGAGCTGCGCTCGCTTTATCAATTGTCCAAGCACTTTTTGCTTGTTTATTTTTGCAAGCGGAGTTGCTCACAAGTGGAAGACCACAGGAAGACGAAAAGTTACGCTGACTGGATACAATTTGGGGGAAGTATTGCCGCCTACAGGTCTGGCATGTCCTTAACAACGTATTCATCCGGGTACGTGTGGACAGAGTTTCTTTTTAAACGAGGTGGTGTGGATGCAAGTTTTTGGAGGGGCGGATATTCGTTTTTAAAAAACCCGGCTACGTGTGGACTAGGCCTAAGAGATCAGTTAGTGTTTAGAGTTTGTTTTTGAGGACCTGCCAAATGTATCTCAAAGTTTAAGCTATTTCATGCATTCTTATGACAGTTATCTGTTGCACCATCTTGAACTCAACTGACTCCAAAATTTAATCTGTTGTAGATGCTTAGCTGGTGAGATAAACACACACACACACACACACACACACACACACACACACACACACACACACACACACACACACACAACCAGGTGATAAACATGTATCTAGGGAAATTAAACAACATTATGCTAACATCCATCTGTCTGAAAAAATTTAATCTAATTTTTAAATGATTTAAAAAAATGAGTTGATTAAACTTTTTGCCCATATTTTACACATGTATCAAATTATTACCACACACACACCTTTTTTTGGCAGGACTCAATTTAGTTCTTAGTCAAAATATCAAAATGGGAAATATAAAGAAGCAACTTCC